TGTTAGAAAAAGTGTTAAGGAACCTAACCTGGACAGGTTTGATACTGTTGAATTCTGGGAATTTTCAGAGATGAATTTGAATGAATGGATTACATAATTGGAAACTAGACATTCGAAGCCTCGTATAGCCACAAGAATCACCTCGAATGGATAACAGTAACTCAAATTATGCATTTTTGAAGTTACGCTTGATTTCTAGAAATTCTACAAAAAAAGAGCCACGTTTTGATCTGGTATAACATATTTTTGGAGACCTTAACCTATCAGAAACTAAAATTATGATAGATCTTTGGAAAGCCCTAGATGTCTACTTCGATTACGCGCTGATTTTGTAATTTTTGAGGCCGTGTAGAATATTTTATGATCATTCCCGTAACAGCCGCCAAAACTGTCTTTTCTAAAAATTGATAAAACAAAGAACTGAGACCCTTACTTTTTGAAATAGGATTGCTGCACTTAAACCACCATTGCTACCATTTAGAACATGTTATTAGTGATGTGTGGGAGTTAGAATCACGTCATTTGGAGTTTTGTAACCCGAGTTGTGCGCATTGGAAGTCTCATGCCAAAAACTTCTCAAAAGCTGTCAAAACTAGGAAAGAACAGAATGTTGATTTCTTAGAAATTATTTTTGAGGTACTTAGAGAGCTCATATTTAGGCATATGATAACTTGTTTCGAAGCTCTAGGTCTCTACTTTATTCAGAAACAAGAATTACACCCGTTAGATCTATGTGGAATATTTCATGATCATTTCCGTCGAAAAGGTCAAAATTGCTTTCTTGGCATAACGTAGAAAGTGTGAATTTGAACCCCAACTTCTAGAACCGGGATCACTGCAGTTAAGACACTAATCCTACCATCTAGTGTGCATCATTAGTGAGGTGTAACACTTGGAATCACTCTATTTTGAGTTTTATAGGCCGAGATGTGCATAGTTGAAGTTTCGATTAGAAACTTTTCAAAATGCCTCGAAAAGTTGAAGTTGCATAATTTCAACTTCTTGTAAGAGGTGTTTGAAAGGCTTGGAATATTTGAAATAGGACATGTGATAGCTCATTGGAAAGACATAGATGTTTATTTTCATTCGAAACCAGTTTTTGACCCCTGGTGACACAAAATATGGTTTGCACGTATTTTCGTAACGAACGTTAAATCAGCCCAGGCATGAGATTAGAGGATTGACCAAGTTAAAGGAATCCTATTAGATAATCCAAGTTTAATTAAGTGAGGAGCTATGCTGATAGAAGGTGACTTTGTCTTATTAAGAGTTTCATTGTGCAAAGGAATCACTCGTTTTGGTATGAAAGGGAAACTTGTGCCAAGGTACATTGGATCATTCCGAATCGTGCAATGAGTCGGTGTCGTTGCTTATCGACTCGCCTTACCACCTGAGTTACCTCATGTGCCCAATGTGTTTCGTGTTTCATGTTTCTATGCTTCATGAGTGTAAACCCGATCCGGAAGCTATTGTACAATGGTACAACGTGTCGATCCAATATGACATGACTTACGAGGAAGCACTAGTTGATCGGAAGATGAAGAGTTTACGCCGTCATGAGATTCCGCTTGTGAAGATGTTGTGGCAACACCATGGCGTTGAGGAAGCGACGTGAGAACTAGAAGTAACGATGCAAGAACGATATCCATATCTATTCATATCCTGAGGTAAGTTCCAATTTCGAGGATGAAATTTCTTAAGGAGGGTAGAGCTGTAACGCCCTCTAGAATTAAACATGTTTAATTATGTTAATTGTGTATATTAGTGTGCCTAAAATTGATTTTTTTTTCTGATTAATCTTATGATTAAATATTAAGTTTTCGAGTTATTTTAAGGAGTTATAAATTACTTTCAGTTTTTCAATTTTCACCTCCAAAGTTTTTAAAAATACACTTAATTTTAATGTATTTTTATTTATTTATTTTTCCTATTTATTTATTTTCTTTCTTTTCCTTTTATTTTCTTTCTTTTCTTTTTCTTTTTTCCCCTTCCTTTTTCCTCCCGTGGCTGCCCAGACACAGCCCAGCCCCCCTCTCTCTCTTTCTTTTTCTTTTTCTTCTTCCTTCTTTGGTTCCTCTCACACCGCCCATCTCCCTCTCTATTTTCTTCCACCGTCGGCCACCTTCTTCTCCGGGCTTCCTCCCGCCGGCCTTCTCTCTCTCTCCCTTGCTCTCTCTCTCCGGGTTTCTCTCTCCCTCTCTCTC